TAAACGGACGATACTATTCCGCAATCTTCTTGTGTTGCCATACAGATCCGGTCAGCTGGCAGTATGGGGAGTCGAAATACTGGCATGCTACTGGCCTCACAGATCAAGTCAACCATCATCCGTGTTTGAGAGCTTCTCCTGCGATCATTTCACCCATTGATGAGGCCAGCATGAGCAACAACAGGTAATTGTTGTAGCCTTGTTAGCGGCAGTACCAACCGTATTGCAAAGGCCTCGGCGATTGATCATTATTGTGAATGTTGCGTGCATTGTGCGAACTCGTTATAGACTCTTGATAGTCTGGATGTTCTCTGTACCTGGAAATTCTGCGAATCAATTTGGGTAAAACTATCTCGCTCTCTGGGGCCCAACCCTAAACCATCCTAAACCCGAAACCAGACATGGAGACAACCAAGGCGCTCGCTTCTTCCCCCCGAAGGATCCCACACCCATGTATGCGGGGACGCCATGGCCCCCTGGCTTCAGGGTGCATGGCATTCGGGTTGAACGCCTCACTACAGGAAAAAGTCCCAGGCTTGATTAAAAGCGTAAGGCTTGTGGGTTTATCTGTTTGGGTGCTGGCAGCAGAGCTTGGACAGTCACACCAGCTTTATTAGGTCTCCCAAAATCCCTGGCAGTACACTTTCCGCTACTTGACTGGTTCGAGGACTTCGGTTGGGGTCGGTGTGCGACCCTCCTGTGAAGCGTTCTTTCCTGCTTTCATGAAGGAGGCTAGGGGTTTCAATCCGGCTCGCGTGGAAGCAGTGAAGCCTTGTGCAAAGAGAATTTTGCCGCCGGAACTTGTTTGTAAGAGTTTTGGACCTGCAAGTACTTTTCTGCCCACAGATTCTCCTAGAGCTCGTGATGCCTGTGGGTGCTCGAAGCTCGACCGTAGCACTTGCCCTCTCATGCGGCACCGCAAAAGGATCCCAAATACCAGGGCAGGGTATCAGTCAGCCGCGATTTTCCGCCAAAGTCCAGGTGGCTGCTTGGCACATGTTTCGTCGTGGCCCTGTTCTTCGGAGCCTTTGTCACGGAAGAGCCTGAAGCAAGGGCGCTATAGGGTTTTGTGAGCGTGTTTACAGGGGGTGATAAGGATGTCATGAGAGTCATGGTATGCAGCATCGGCTACCGGAGATCGTTTCAACAGCCTTCAAAGTCCTCATTAGTTGTTCATAAAATACCCATAACCCTATTCTAGTCACTGAGGCCCACCTTACAAGCCACGCGTACCATCTCCATCCAATTCATTCAGCGACCACTTGGTAGATTCATCAGATCCTTCTTGTCTAGCCTAGGCTGTCATCTCGACTCAATGGGTTTGGCTTTTCGTGAAGAGGCCACCTGCTAGGCACCGGTGCTAAATCTCAGCGCATCCTGTACCCAAAATATCCCAAGGCCCATCTGAATCCAGATTTCAGAGCCTCCCGACTTGCCCATGCAAGAGCTCTGCTATGACAAACACATAGCACTCGTGAGGCCAACCTGTAAAATGCTTACCAAGGTGGGCACTGCCCTGCTAGAACGGAAAGGTAGCGATAACGCCACAGCTGCAGTCTTCTCCAGCTGTTGGAAAACCTGGTACGTCACGTACTCCGCGGCCATCTCCACTACACAGGGGTGGTTGTCAAAATTATGGTCCCTAAGGGACCATAATTTTGACAACTACCCACATTCAGCGCACCTTCCAACTGCTGCAAGGATGGTTCCTGACTCGCTTCTTCGAAACTCCAACTCGCAAGTGCCTACGAGCCTAGGCGCGGTAGAGGGTCGAAGGTCTAGTGGAGTGGCGGCTTTCGGCGAGCACACAGAGTGGTCTTGTATCCGATCACGAGCCCTAACCTCCCAGGTTCCTGCTACATAGGGTTCTGGAGCCCCTAGGACCTTTTTAGTAGGTACCTGGAGGGTTTAGGGAATGCATGAGGGTGTCCGCCAACTCGTGGCGCCCGGGAGGAGTCCAGCTTTGCAGCGAGCAGCGGCTGAACATTGCTACCCTGTTTCCGAAGATCTTCATCGTGAAGCCAAGTCGTTGTTTCCGACCCTCGGAAGTCTGTTACTCCTTTTGTTAGACATCTTAAAACCAAAACACCCGGAAGACAAACCTGAACACTGATCTTCCAGCCCCTCGTGCAGGCAGTCTTTAGCGAAGCCGTGACATGGTAGCAAACGGATGCAGGATATGGGCTCAAGACAAGCATGTACCCTAATTACGGGGCTCAAGGCCCACTGTCTTCAATTCCGGTCAAGGTTCAGGACTCACGAAAAATGTAGTAAGTAGAAGGTGTCCAAATTCCAGAGAGTTCATATGCTGGGCTCCTGAAGCTCTTCGGAAACTTCTTTGCCGGGGCCGCTGTGAGTTTTGACTGTGTGGGGGTGGGTCAGGGCCAAAGAGTCCTGGAAATCGCGCAACCCTTCCTGCATGCGACAGACAGGAGAGCAGAAGGCCTCTATCTGCAGCAAGACTGAGCCGTAAGGGCATGTGGTTAATATAGGGGCCTTAATAATTACCTATACAATTTTGGGGCTCCTTATTATTATAACTATAGCATTCTATACCCCAAAACCCTATTCTAATTACTAAGGCCCCTACATTATAGGGAGCAGTAGGCCAAGACGTTCCCGCAAGCCTTAAGAAAGTTCTTTGGTCGACCTAGTTGGTAATAGGTGGTGTTGCTTGTTTGTAAACCAGGCATGCCTGACAGGAGTTGAAGATCACCGGTGAGGCGAAGTCACTAGGTCGCGTCTCACTTTGCATCAGTTTTCTGGCGGCCGCACTTTCTGCGGGGCCCATGTTCTGCAAGGCAAACCAACTGGCTACTGGAGCATCAGGGTTTTTTGCTTAAACAATATATGGTTATTATCGTACGTTTACTACTCGCATCATTACTAATCTCGGCCCCTGATTATTTAGCCCCCATCCCCCCCCCCCCAAATCGTAAAATCAGCTTTCCATGGACATCTGTTTGAAAGTAGGGGTCCTGTTTTAGCTCTTCATTTCGGTCGCAGGTACATAATGAATTTGTGCAGCTATTCTAAACCCGTCCCTGGCACGTGAGATTTCGGATGCCGGGATAATCCCTAAACATAACTCTGCGAGAGAGAGAGAGAGAGAGAGATTCGATGCAGGTTCAGAAATGAGTTATATGTCCCAACCCTCTACCCTTGGGCGATCCCTAGGGTCTCCCTCATGGCGCCGAATTGCACAAGAGTCTCGGACCTTCAAAATTCCTCTTTGGGTGCATTCCGGGCCAAGGGCTCTCCCACAATCCGGTTCTCATATCAGGGGGCGGGTTGCTAATCGGAGGAGGGGAGTACCTGTTCTTATTGTCATTGTGATGTTGATGGTGGTTACTCGTTTCTACTGTCAATAGCATAATTTTTATTGTTATGGCTATGTTTTTCCGATTACGATCATGATCATGAGTGTTGTTAGTGTTGTTGTTATTGTTATTGTTATATTGGTTGTTGTTTTGGTATTGCTATTGTTATTGTTAGTGCTAGTGCTATTGTTGTTACTGTTGTTGTTATTGTTATTGTTGTTGTTATTGTTAATGATATTACTCTAAATATTATTCGTGTATTTACTATCATTGTCATCGTGTTTATTATTGTTGTTTTGTATGTTGTTATGATTGAACTATTTTTGTCATTATTATTGTTGCTATGCTATTCACAATGTTGTTGATCTTCATATTCCTGTTCTTCTTATCGACACTTACTACCGGGCTCGCGCCCGCCGCTGCATCGTGCGGCCAGCCGTCTGCTCCGGGTAGGTCTGTGGCATGAGCCCTGCGAACATGGCACGAACGTAGATATAGAGGCTCCGGATACAGAAGGTCCGGTATCATGGAGTTCTACGCTTGCTAGAGCCAGCATCTTGGAGTTCCTAAGACACCAGCATAGGTGGCTCCTCATGCTCACGTGGCATGCAGTTCGCAAGCGACCAATGCGTGCCGGCTAGGCGTGCATACTTGCCCACCCTTCTCGTAGCAGACCTTTCTGCAGCGGGCCGAAGGGTCGCAAGGTGATGCGAGAAGAAGGCAATCCAGCATTCCAAGCGCCGGTGATTGATGTTTTTTGCAACGGTGGGTGCCGCAGGGGACGTCGTAGTCATGTAGTGGTTGGCAAAATCGTAGCGGGAACAGCATCATTAGCAAAGCTCATGGTGGTAAAGGTTACAAGCAAGGATGCAAATAACAACATAACAGCAGCAACAAGCACACGAACGCGACATATATATATATATAACTATATATATATATATAACTATATATATATATATAGATATAGGTGGCTTGAAGATGACTGTTCTCGCATGCCGAGCTATCCTGGGGCGACTGGCCCATGTCTGCACCAGGCCCTGCATGTACAGTGGAAGACCGCGAAATGGTACGAGCTTGTGTCCTTAAACTCCTAAACCCTAAACTCCTAAACTCTTGAACTCCTAAGCCCTAAACCCTAAAACCCCCAAACCCCCAAACCCTAAACCCCTAAACCCTAAACTCCTAAACTTCTAAAGATAGAACCCTAAGGACCAGTTTGCTGGCAGTCTGAAATCGGCGGTTTGTCTCAGTTCCGTTAACCCATAAACCATACACCCTAAGCCCGAACACCCTAAACCCTATGAGATGTTTCGGAGGCGATACCTCCAAGCAAGCCATGCCTCCCGAGACCGCCTGCACCCCACCCTCATAGTCCGACCTCCTGCACCTCAACTCCTACAACCCCCTTAACCCTAAACCTTAAAACCCTAAACCTTGAAACCCCAAGCCTCAAAAATCCTAAACTCTACCAGTAAACCTTGAAACCCTAAACCTGATAACCCTAAACCCCAAAACCTGAGCTCCGAAAGCCCTGGTCCCCCTAAAGTGCGATTTCTTGGACTACTTGGAGGATCATGGGACTTAGTAACTAGGGTTATAAAAAAGGTAACTACAGTTATAAGCCCAAGTAGGGTACTTACAACCTGACTTACTAAGTCCCATGATCCTCTAAGTAAG